CTCGGTGGTTGAAGGGCGCTGGGGAAGGAGACGAAGCCAGTAATACAGCCGTGGGACTGCGCAAGAGCGGAAGAGGAGCGATGAGTCCTGCCGCTGCTCGTGTGCGAACGCCCTGAGTCGTTCGATGAGGGGGCGGTGGGAGTCGAGGACGCTCTGCAGCCTGTTAGCGACGTAGCTGTCCGTCCCTGTTGCCCCGCCCAAGATGTCAATGCCCTCACCCGAGAGCCCCTCCCTCTCAAAGCCAGGCAGCAGGTCGTCCGGTGGTGGCTCGCTGTCCGTCCAGTGGGGGCCGTACGCCTTGCTCTTCTTCCTGGCCAGCTTGAGGCTGATAGTCTGCAGCTCTTCCTCCGCCTTGTCCACCACCCCGTCTGCCTCGCTCTCGTCGACCCCCGGTGTGATGTCGTTCATGAAGGCTTGTATGAGGGCGCATGGAAAGCTGGCTTGGATGGCCTTGAGTACTGGCTGGAGGGCCAGACAGAAGAGGAAGGGGCCGGCCGGGTCTCCTTGCTGAGTGCCTTGCTGGCTCAGGATGGTCCTCACTCTGCCGTCTGCGAGTCGATACCACAGCTCCGCCGGCTCTCCATAGAACTGCCAGAGAAAGTGAAAGAGCTCGGGGAACTAGCTGGCGAGCTCGTTGACGATCGCCTGACGGTCCACCTCGTTGAAGGCGTTCGTGCAATCCAGCGTTGTGAGCAGTCGCTTTTAGCTCTCCCTCCGGCTCTGGATGAATGTCTCGGCGGCCTTGAAGAGCTTCTCGTTGCCTGCTGGGGTGCCGACTGCGCACTGGAGAGGGGCAAAGTACTAGGCGGCCATCTTGTTTTGTGCTGCATGCACACTGCTCTCGTCACCCATCGCCGCACTGCATCCCCCACCGCTACCGGCCGCACCTTGCCGTGCCCTTTCGTTAGTGCCATCAGGTTTGCGGTGCCGAGCAGTTTGGTGACAAGCTGTGGGAGCTTCGCGCTCAGCAGCCGTCTGATGATCTTGGGGAAGGGGATGCGCTCCTCTCCCTGCCGGAGCCCATGCTTTGACAAGTTGAGGTAGCCCAGCAGATACTCGAACCGCCAGCCGAACGGCCCTGGTGCTGCGCCTTTTGCTGCTGAGCGGAGTGCCTTCGCGAGCATCTTGGGTGAGACGTCGAATGCCTCGGGCTCCACGTTGACGTTCGGCTTGATGACGGGTGTGTTGCGTGAGAGGTGGAGGGCTTGCAGCTTGGCGTATGTCTCCTCCGTAGCTGGGGCGACTGGGGTGGAGTCCAGCTTCTTGGCCGCTCGTGTGAATTCCCCAGGCTCCACTAGCCGCTTGGCTGTCATGAAGGCCCTCTGCGTTGCCGTGTCGTGGGTGGGGTGGGCGGGTGTGGGGTGGATGGCCGGTGTCGTCTCGGTGCTCTTTGGTGCGAAATCGGCCCCCTCGCGTAGCAGCAGCTCCCATTCCCCCTCCCAAAACAGCCGAAATCTTCGCTCCCACTTTCTCCTCCCTCCCGCCCCTCCTCTCTTGGTTGAGAACAGCAGCAACAAAGGGATGTACAGAAACAGGAGGAACCCGTCGTCCAGCTGGTTGGTGTCGCCGTCGTGGCTGACCAGCGCGTCTGCCGCCTCCATCACGTCAGCCATGTCGATCCTTGCCTGTGGGGGGATCCTTGCCTCCGTCGGGATGCCCATGCGCCAGGCCGCCGAGTGCTGCTCCTCTGTGCGGTTCCTCAGGAGCGCCAGCCCTCTCTCCGGGATCGTCTTGGTCGGCCCACGCATGCCATTGCGTGCTGATGCGGCGCGGCGGCTGCCGCCCCCATTGTGGTTTCCCCTATCACCGCCCCCACCCGTGTCGTCGCCTGGCTCGTCGGGGTCCCCGCCATCGCCGCCTCCTCTTCTCGGCGCGACACGCCCCCGCCCCCCGCCCCGGCCCCTCCCCCGTCCTCTCCCTGACCCTCTGCCGCCTCGTCTACCGCCTCTGCCCCCTCTCGTGCTGCTGGCATGGTTGTTTGCGTTTGTTGGCGGCTGAGGGGGTCGTGAAGGTGGTTGGGACGGTTGAGAGGGCTGTTGAGAGGGCTGTTGAGAGGGCTGTTGAGAGGGCTGTTGAGATGGTGGGGCCAGGCCTGGTGGGCGACCTCTGATTGCCACCCATATGTGTGTCGCGGCTGTGCTGGTTGTCCCGGCGCCCTTCTCTGCATCGGGATCCATACGCCCGCCTCATGCCTTGGGGCGGCGTTTCGCTGGATTCTGGGACGCCAGACGAGTGTGGGGGCCAGTGGTGGTGCGTCTGGCTGCGTGATGAGGCGCCACTCCTGTCGTGTGTGGGGCGGAGGGTGTTGCGCGGGGGGTTGAGATCGATGCCGACACTCACCCGAGTGAGAAGCACGAGGGTGCATACCTGAGTGAGAAGCACGAGGGTGCATACCTGAGTGAGAAGCACGAGGGTGCAT